AGCTGATGTCCTAGGAGAGGCCTTGCCTTCTCTGAGGAGTGAATGGGAGGTGGAATGGGGGAGAAGGGGCAGCAGGAGGAAAGGAAGGAGGGAGAACTGGGATTGGAATGTAAAAAGTAAAAAATAAATTAAGAAATGTCTTAGAATACCCATGTACATAAAAATAACTAAATCTTTAAAGGGGAGGGTAGTAGAAGGAAAACTATTCACTCTATTGACTTTGCTTGCCCAGCCTTCTCTTTGCCAGGTGACAAATGCCTCTAATCCTAGCACTTGGGATTAAAGAGGAGGATCTCCGTGAGTTCGAGGCCAGCCTGGTCTACATTGTGAGTTCCTGGACAGCCAGGGCTGTTAGAAACCCTGTCTCAAAAAAAAAAGAAAGAAAACCCAAAACAACAAACAAACAAACAAACAAAAAAACCAACTTGGGAAAAGAAAATTGCATTTGCATGGAATATGCTGATTTTTTATCATTATTCACTAGGCATCACAGTATAACAATTGTCTACGTGTAGTTTCCATTGTGTCGAATATTGTAAATAACCTTGAAGTCATGTGCATGATTTATGCAAATGCTTTTATATAAAGGACTTGAACATCCACCATTTTGGTACCCACAGTGGGGTTTCCTAGACTCAAACCCTAACAGACCCTAACGCGTATCAATATGAGTTTGTCCTTTCTCTTATCCCCTCTGAAGGGTGGGGGATAGACTCTCCTTTGCTATGAGTGCCCTCTGCCCCAATGGCTTGCTTATACAGTGTCCCCAGAGTACTGGGAGATGAGGTGAGTTGGGAGAACACGCTACAACTGGGTCATTCTCTTGAGGATGACAACACTTGTCCTATTTTCCACCTGTCTAAATTGAGCTTAGCACCTTGTGCTTAGGTGACCCTGACAGGTCAGTGCCACATGAGTCATCTTGTGAGCCTTTAACACTGTCACTACCAGGCCCTGGGCCAGGGTATGTGATGTAGGAGGTGGAAGTAACATTCACCTTCACAGGTCTTTCCCTTCCTCTAGGAAAAAGATAGAAAATCCTTCCCTTAGGTGGGTTGGGCAATTTCCTCCTAGGAGGAAGAGGGGTCCCTGGAGGTGCAGAACCAAGAGCTGAGAAGAGGGAGGAGCCCATGTCACCTCGGAAAGCTTGTCTAACTAGTGCAGACGGCTGAACGTGACCTCTGAGCATCCGTTTCCCCTGTGGAGGACTGGAGATAACAACGGTCTTGTTCTTCTCCCTAGTTAGTTTTAAAATCTCCCTGATAGACCAAGAGGCTGCAGAAGATTTGGAATTTCTGCAAGTCACAGCGTCCGTCCTCTTCTATAAAATGGAGATAATAATTAGAGCCTGGGATGAGAAAATTATGTAGGTGCTTAGCATGTACCAAGAGCTCAATAATGTTGGTTATTTCCAAACAAGATAATGATGCTGATTATGTAAGTAAAAACCCAAGAAGGGCTCATCGGTGAAAAGAGAGGGGTAGGTTCAGGGGTAGATTGTGTGCTTTGAATGTGGAAGACCCTGGGACTCAACCCCCAGAAGCCAAAGAACAGAAGGACAGAGTCAAGCTTCTCACAACTGGCTGATTCTTTTAGCCAAGTGTGGGGTGTGGCTCAAAGGAATGAGGAAGCTGTCCAGGAGATGACTGGGCACACAGCACAATTTGTCTTTAAAGATGGGGGCTGCGTGTTCACTGATCCTTCCAAAAGCTCAGGGACCCTTGTTGTCATCTCAATCCTACTTTTGCCATCTACCTGTCTCTTCTCTGGTGTCCCCAACAAGCCCAGTCACCAAACCCTATTGCTGTTTCTTTGAAATGATAGCAAAACTAAGTTGTTACTTTTTGACAGTTATATTGGCTTTCTTACATGCTATCCTGGTAACCTTTTATTCTCTATCTCCCATTAAAAGGATCCAGAGTTAGGAGGGGCAGGGAAATCACTCTGCATGCCGCACATGGAAATACTGAAACCTGGAGGAAGACACAGCAGAAGCAGGATTAGAACCCAGAGGTCCTAGCCAGGCGTTGGTGGCACACGCCTTTAATCCCAGCATTTGGGAGGCAGAGGCAGGCGGATCTCTGTGAGTTCGAGGCCAGCCTGGTCTATAGAGCTAGTTCCAGGACAGCCTCCAAAGCCACAGAGAAACCCTGTCTCTAAAAAAACAAAAACAAAAACAAACAAACAAAAAAAGAACCCAAAGGTCCTAATTGCAACCCAGATCTCCTTTCAAGTCATACCTGATTTCCTGGGTCACTGCAGTTTCCCAAACGGATCCCCCGACTCTGGCCTCTCCCTATGAACTTGTTCTAGTGTGGTAGTGTCCCCCTCAGAAGGTATAGGACCTAGAGGTGAGTCCTATGGTCCGGCCGTGGTCCAGCCAGAGCAGCACAGACCACCATATGATGGTCTAGCAACGTGGCCCTGATCTTGACTTTCCCTCCTATTAGAACTCTCTTGTTTTCACCTTGAGAGGTTGTCACCTAGTTCCTGGTTCTGCCTTTCAGTGAGTTAGTCGCCAGCCACATCTCAATTGCTCAGTAGTCAGTGGGTAGCTAGTGGCTACAGGCAGTATGACCCTAGAATCTTTTCTCAGCTGTCTCTGGTATGGACCTAAGGACAGGACTTTATACTTGCTCTGGGTGGCAGCTCATTTTGTTAGTTTCATCTCAGTCTTCAAGCCTGTTGAGGCCTTCGGGAGACTTGTTCTGGTTTCCACAGTACATGCTCTAGATCTAGAGTTCTCTCTCTCTCTCTCTCTCTCTCTCTCTCTCTCTCTCTCTCTCTCTCTCTCTCTCTCTCTCTCTCTCTCCCTGCTGACAGCAGCAGATCTGATTAGCAATTCATATCTCCTCAGCTTCATCTAAAACCACTGGTAACAAACCCTCTCCCCAGAGCAGAGGGCATAGGAACCAGGCCCATGTCATCAAATAGTTGTTTAATAAATTAGGACTCTGAATCAGGGTCTGTGCTGGGTACCAGGGAACCACAGGGAGACAGAAAAAACCCTAAGTAGAGTCCTGCAATGGTGGATGCTGACTCTAATAGTTTAATTAGCGTCATCTCATATTCAGGGCTGGCCTGATGGTTAAATGTGGGAGTTCAAAGTCAGATTCCAGGGTTCAGATCCTGGCTCTGCCACTTTTCAAGCTATGTAGTGGCTTTGGAAATTTCCGCTTTCTGGTGAAACTGTAGAGAACAAATGAGTTGCTGCAAGTATGACTTTTGGGGAGTGAGGCTAGAGACAGGGTCTCTATGTGTAATAGCCCTGATTATCCTGGAATTCATTTTGTAGACAAGGCTGGCCTTGAACACTCTGGCATGTGCCCCCACTGCCCAGCTAGTACGACTCAAAACAATGTCTGGAATATACATGTTCCACATAATTGAATTGTTTTTTTTTGTTTTTTTTTGTTTTTTTTTTTTTCCAGACAGGGTTTCTCTGTGGCTTTGGAGGCTGTCCTGGAACTAGCTCTTGTAGACCAGGCTGGCCTCGAACTCACAGAGATCCGCCTGCCTCTGCCTCCCAATTGCTGGGATTAAAGGCGTGCACCACCAACGCCCGGCCCATAATTGAATTGTTAGTCTCTATGATGAGCTGGACTTTCTAGCCATGCTGTGGAGAAAAGCAGGGCAAGTTCTGCTCAGTCCTGTTAGGGCCTTGGCTTCCTTAGTTTTGCCCTCTCTTGGTTTACTGTGTCCTTGGAGGTCCATACCATGCCTCCCCTTCTAGACTCATCCATTCGGCTTCCTGATTCCAATCTGCTTTTAGCATCCTGTACTGGAGAAGATGGAGTAGGGGGAGCACAGCAAAGAACCAGAATTACTGGGCCTGGCTTTGACTCTGTGTTGTCTCGGGCAGACTTAGGATCACAGCTGCACCTGAGATATGGTTAGGGCCAAGTGAATGAGATACGGTTAGGACCAAGTGAGACAAGGAGGTGATGGTGTCTGGTGTTTGCTTTTAGGAGTCTTTGCGCATGTTGTCACCCATGTCCTGACTTACAGTAAAACGCTGTAAATTCTTCCTCATTTCTTCCCTTCAAAATCTAATAAAGGAGGCTCGGTATTCCTGGCCTTCCTGAGGACTGGCTCTTGCCCTGGGAATCCAAGCGCAGGAAATCCCTCGGGTTCTTGTCTATGTACTGGGGCACTGATAGATGCCCTATCTTCTCGGGGTGCTATTCTAGATTAGTTCGCCCTTTCCTATGCTTGACTCTAAGTGTGTGTGCAGGACCTTCACCAGGAGCTCGACGAGGGCCAGGGTGGATATATTCCTAATTCAAAGAAGCGCTTCCCTTTGGGCGTGCTTGTGTCTATGGGTCTAGGGTCCCAGGGTCCCAGGACCAGGGGCTCGGCCCTTGCTGAGCTCCCAGTGAGGGCAAAAGGGCTACCATCCGAGACTGGCTGAAAAGAGCTGCACTGCATTCTCAGCTTGGCCGTCTGAACAATAGGAGGGAGGCTGGAGGTTGGTGGGCGTCGGCCAGGTCCCTGACGGAGGGATAGGAGACCGGTGGTGCTGCTGGGCCACCGGGTTAGCCCAGGCCACAGGCCTGAAAGCTGAGCGGGCTTGGGGCGGGCGGCGATTCTGGAGGAGGTGGGGTAAAGGCCAAGCCTACCTGGCTGGGACCTGGAAGGAGAGAAGGCTCGGTGTGGAGTCTCCTCCTCGTGGTCCCGCTGCTCGCCCTGGCCTCTGAGCTCCACCGAGGCTCAGGTGGGCTCCTGGCCCACGTGGGGAAGCGAACGGCACGGGCTCGCGGGGTGCACCCCCCTCCGAGCACCACCCCTCCCTGGGACCGGACGCGGCTCCTCGGGGCAGCCGAGCTCTCGGGGCCAGTGGGTTGCGCTCGCTGCTAGCACGCCCTTCGGCCGCTGCCTGGCCGGGATCGTAGCCGCCTCCTCCCAGGGAGCCGCCGGGGCGGGGCAGAGGGGGAGAGGGGGGTGTGCGGAGCGGGCGGGAGGGGGCTGAGCGCCGTGGGAGGGAGCGGAGGAGCGAGCGAGCAAGCCGGGCATTTCTGCGCAGCTTCTGAGCGCCTCGGAGCCCGCCAGGGAGACCACGGAACGCCAGGACCGAGAGACAGACCGACGGCTCCCGGAAGCTGCGCCGCCACCGCCAGGTTAGCAGGGCGTCGAGACCACGCAGGCTGTCGCCGCGTTTCGAGCCTCGATTACTGGAGGACGTGCGTGGACTGAGTTGCGAGCTTCGATTCGTATCTTTGCGGGTACGTTTGTCGGGGTCCCAATCTCCGGGTGTGCTTTGAGTGCGAACGTGCGTGTATCTGTGGATCGGTACAAGTGGGTGTTTGGCTTGTACGTACGTGTGCATCTATATAAGGGTGTGCACCTTGGGGCGGGGTAGTGTGCTAATGTGGGTGAGGGTCTGTGTGTCTGCTTGTGCTTATCCGCGGATGTGCCTGGAGAGGGTGTGTCCCAATGTGTAGCAGTGTGTACATCTGGATGAGGGTATGCGCTTGTACAGATGGCTTCTCGTGACTGAAGCCTATGGCGTGTGTGGTGTGTGTGTGTGTGCGTGTGTGTATTTCTCTGTATGCGCTCCAGTGTGACTCCCCGTGTGTGTGTGTGTGTGTGCGTGTGCGCGCGCCAGTGAGAGCGGGTGTGCGCCCGCGTAGCCCCTGTGTGCGTGTGCTCGGCTTTGTCTCCGCACTGCCTGGAGGAAGGGGGTGGGGGCGGCGGTCGAGGCGCTGGCGTCGCCGGGAGCCCCTCACTAGCCGGGGAAGTGGGTGGCAGCGGCGGCGCGGGCGTCCTAGCTGAGTGGAGACTCCCTGCTGGCAGGTGGGCAGCCACGCCCCGGGTACGGGAGAGAGCCCTACTGACAGCAGAGCCTGGTTCCCGGCTGAGCTGAAGCGGAGGGCGTGGCCTGCCTGAATCTCGGGTGTGTGCTTGTGAAGGGTGGGATGGGTGATTGGGTGTGAAGGGGTGGGTGTGTGCAGGCGTGGGTGCGGGGTGCTGGTAGCAGCAACAGCGGCCCCCTCGGCTAGTGACCCAGGGCTTCTGAGATCTGTTTCCTTGTGGTTTAAGGACAGGACCAGAGGCAGCTCTGCCTGGTCAGCTACACCACCCTCTTACTGGGCAGAGCAGCAGTCTAGGTACCCTGAAAGGACTAGTAAGACTCATCACTGTCTTAAAGGGCTAGTGCCTAATTCCAAGGAATTCCCTCTCAGGAGGCCTCTGTACTTTGAGAGATATGTCTGCACCTCTTCCCCCATGTATTGGGCATTGATTGCACGCATGTCTAGTCTGTGTGCGTTCCGCCGTGCATTTAGGTGTATATGTACATTTTACTAATGAACAATAAATAACTCTGGATGTATGTGTGCATCTGTTTTGGTAAGTTCTGGTATGTTTGTTTTTATGTGTGTGTAACTGTTTGTGTATTGGTGAGCCTGAATGTGGGGCTGTAAGAGAGTGCCATTTTGCTGCTAACTGGAATAGGATAGAAAGCCCCTTCCTTATATTTGAAAAACAAGGTGAAAAGGAAGTTTGGGGATTTGGTTACTGGTTTTGCCGGTTTCAGATATTGGTACTGAAATGTATGTAGGTAGATTGGGTTTGACAAGGATCTGAAGAAACAAAATCTTCCAGAGGGAAGAGAGGGACGTACGAGCTCAAACCTCCTGGGTCTTCTCCCTAACTTCCCTCCTCCTTGCTGCTTGGCGTGTGTACAGGATAAGTGTGTACGGGATAAGGGTTTGAGAGGAAGGGGAGGAAGCTGGGGTATAAAAGGAAGACAAGTGGATGGTGATTGGGGCAAAGGCAGTTTTCTGCAACTCTTAAACTGTTTCCCTGCCAAAGGCAGCAGAGGCAAGGAAAGCTGGGGTCCTTATCTCTTTCCCTGTAGGCACAGCACTGTGGTCCAGGGGTCCCCTTTTGACAACAACCAAACCCTTTTAACCCTTTTGTGTTTATCTTTATTAATCTTTATTAAGCTTCTTCTCTCTCTCTCTCTCTCTCTCTCTCTCTCTCTCTCTCTCTCTCTCTCTCTCTCTCTCTCTCTCTCTCTCTCTCTCTCTCTCTCTCTTTTTTTTTTTTTTTGGCTTTTTACGAGACAGGGTTTCTCTGTATTGTTTTCGAGGCTGTCAGTCCAGCCCAGCCTCGAACTCGCAGAGATCCGCCTGCCTCTGCCTCCCAAGTGCTGGGGTTAAAGGCGTGCACCACCACTGCTCGGCTAAGCTTCTTTTCTCTTAAGGACTCCTGAGCCTCAGTTTCTCTGTTTAGGGGGCTGAGGGTTCAGGGTTGGGTCTTTGAGGTTGGACTTTTGCTCATTACTACGATTTAGGAATTCACTGTTCTTAAAAAAAACATGGTTACATTTTATATGTATGGAGGGGGCAAAGGTCAGAGGATAATTTGCAAGAAGAATCAGTTGTCTCCTTTTACTATGTGGGCCTCAGAAATTGAACTCAGGTCATTAGGCTTGGTAGGAATATCTTCACCCACTGAGGCATCTTGCTAGGCAGGAATTCACCCTTCTTGCCCCTAGAGATCCTGGCCGCAGTCCCTACTCACCACCTGCCACTTTCCTCACTGGAGCCATTGCACTGGTTCCCAGTGTGGTCAGCTTACCACCTGCAGCAGGGTTACCGGTTTCTTAGAAATGCAAATTTGGAGCGTCATGGTAGACCTACACCACACAAAAATCTGGGGAAGGGGCCTAGCAATCCGTGTTTTAACAAATGCAAATTATTCTGACCTGTTCTGTGACTCAGTAGAAGAGCCAGGAACTTGTAGGTTGAAACAAGGGGGAAGCCCCTCCTTTCTTCAGGCCGTCATGGGTGAGGCCCCAAAGCCTACCTTAGTAGGTAGGGGTTCTGTTTTCAAGCCCTGGGTCTTCCTTGTCAGCTTAGACAAGATTTCACCGACCTAAGCAAAATCTCACCCTGCAGATTCCCCACTATGCTCATTTTCTCCAAACCCTACCCTAACTTACCGAAAGGCAGGTAAAATCCAGTCCTTGCCCACTTGCCTCTGGCTGGGATTTTGTGCACACAGGCTCCTCTGTCTGGCACACTGGTCCCTGTTTCTCTGGCAGGGCTTTGCCAACTCCCTAGGTTGGGCCAGTATTTCCCTTCATACATTCTTTTTTTTTTTTTTTTTTGACTCAGAGCACCTGTCTCCTAGGGCTTGTGAGCGTTGAGATTGTACTTGAACTTGTTAGTTGTTTGTCTCTCTCAGCTAGACTGTAGATGCCATCAGGGCAGGGACTTGCTTGTTACTCTTCCTAGTGTCTCCCATAGTGTCTGGCTTTTGATTTGTGTTCAATACATCTGTCAGATGAATTAATGTCTAAAGTAGGAGATGATACTAAATGATGCCCTTTCTTAAGTGTCTCCTTAAGCTTTGGTCGTGTGCTATCCAAGCAGGACACGGATTGTTCTCGGACAGGTTCATCTCCCCCCCCCCCCCAGTCTCCTGACTGTAGACTTGAGCTCTCACTGTGTGCCCTGAGCTGTGCTGGCTCTGCCTGGGGCAGGCAGGAGAAAGGTCTTGGGATGCTTGTGTCCTGCACCCTCCTGAAATAAGATCCCATGATACCGTGCAGAGGAAGAGCAATGAGTGAGGGAGTCAAAGGTTTGGGGTGCGACTGGACACATCACTTTTCCTCCTTTGCATGTGTCTTCTCCTACCAAATGAAGGTGTGGGGATGAATCCCTCCTGAGCCAATGAGGATTTGGCCCAAGGCTCCCTAGGGGATGTCTAAAAGTGTGACTAGTACTGAACCCTGTATGTACCATATTGTTTTTCATAATGAGTTGAGAACAGTCATCTTTTCACTTGAAGGAAGTGCTTTGCGTCTTCTCTGGTATGTCTATATTGCCAGCATCACTCTTCTTATGCATTGGGGCCACTAGTGTGTGAAATAAGGATTGAACGAATGAGATGGGATACCAGTGCAGCGGTTGGCCTGGTAACTGAGATGGCTGTTGGCAACAGACAGACACATTGGACAAGGGGAACAGAGCGAGAAAAAAAATGGCTTCATCGTGCTCTCAGAGCAGTCTACAACTATGCATGGATTGTGTCTTTCTGGAATTTTACATTTAATACTTCCAAACCATAACTGGTAACTGAATCAGCTAAGGAGGGACTATTATGGTTACCGACGCTGGTGCCGGAGTCCTTCAGGGTTTGCCATATACTAGTTGAACAGGTGACTTATCTGTCCCTTCATATCTCTTCACCTGTAAAGTGAACCAATAGAAGCCTCTGTTTCACAGGGCTGATTTGAGAATTAAATGAGACAACACATATGGAATGCTCAGCACAATGTGGGCACAGAGTAAACATTTGGTAAATGTTAGCTGTGTTATTACTCTTATGGCTACCGCACAGTTTGGTTCAACCTGCTTGAATGCCTTTGTGTTGGCCTTGGGCCTACAGAAAGAGAAACATATACAGCAGGGTTCACACACGGCCTGGGGCAACAGCAAGATGTGCAAAGCTGCCTTATCACAAGGACAATGCTAGGTGGGGAGGTGCGGTTGCCTAGGGAGGAAGGGCTTTCTTTATGGGAGAGGCAGGGATGGTGTGGAAGCTGGGCCAGCGTGTGCAAAGGCGATGTGGCATTTTACCCCAAGGAGGTTCATGTGGTAGAAGCAAAAGCTGGTGGGTGGGAGGGACAGAGTGAGTGGCTGCAGCATCGGGAGAGGCAGAAAGGTTCCAGGGCTGTGGAAGAGCTTCGCTTGGTCTTGCTGGTGGTGGGTACTAGGGAAGAAAATTTAGCAGACCAGGAAAGATTTGCATTTCAAAAACAGCCCTCCAGGTGATGGGAGCTGCTGACACTCGGTAGAAGAGGAGACTGTTGACCTGGATAGGGTCAGGGTCCAGCCTAATAAATGACTCAGGGGAGCCAGCGCTGTGTGTGTGTGTGTGTGTGTGTGTGTGTGTGTGTGTGTGTGTGTGTGTGTGTGTATGTGTGTGTGTGTAGACTGACCTCTCTTGGGCTTGGAGATCATCTTAACTGCACAGCTGCCTGGAGAGTAGGAATCTGGAATCCAGAGCCTGGATTCTGGGTCTGCTACAGTGTGTTACCTTCCTGAGAAGCTTCCAGGGAGCTCAAAGCCACAGATCTGTATTCTCGCTGTTCTGGAGGCTGGAAGCACACCGTCCACAGTCAGCCAGGTATCACTGGTTTTGGGAGAAGGCCCGCAGTGGTGCCTTTGATCTGCTGCCTGGTCTGCCTCTGTCATTGTGTGACTTTCTC